ACGTGCGGGTGATGCTTCACACCCGCCATGAATTTGATGGCGAAAAAACCGATTCTGATTCAGCATGCTGCGTTTGAGAAGCGTGGATATCATTGCCACTTCGAGAAGGTGAACAGTTGCGAGTTTGGCCTGAGGCAATCTCGCCAGAGAGTGTATTCGATATACATTAAGACGAATCACATGGACGAAGACGTGTACCTTGGACGTCCACTGACTAGTTGTTGTTTTCTATTTTTTGGGAAGCCAGTGCAGTTTGTGAAATTAGAACCGAATGTGAGCTTGGAGCGCATCATATTCTATCTGCAGGTCGCCTGGTGCATTCTTCAGCAAATTCAAATGCAGCCCATTGCCTTTGCCGTTGTTCTTTCTTCGCAGTCCTTCAAATGCTGCAGCGGCTGAGACCATGCGCAAGACCCGCGGCCAGAAGTGGCAGGAGGGTTTCAAACAGCGATGCAGGGAGCTTGGTGAGGCCTTTGGTAAGTGCCTAGCAGGCTTTTGGTTCACCTTGGGCTAAAGTTTAGAGGGTTCTACCTCAGTCAATGCTGTTGCGTCGAGTTTTGTTTTTTGGTGGGGAGCCGCTCGCAATCAAAGGCAGATGTCATGAACAACCTTGACAAGCTTCGCTTCTATTCCATGCCATTGACAGAACGAGAGCTGTCCATTCTGGCCGTTTGCGTGACTGAGTTGCAGCAGAACCGCTTCCGCCCTTTTGAGGACATGTTCTTCGTGGAGGTCGACTCTAGGCTTAGGGCTTTATACATTTGCAAGATTTTCCAATTTGTCACTATTGTTCTATTTTGTGCGCTTTGGCAAATTAGTTGTAGACTTTCTGTAACTGCAATAAGTAAAAAACCGTCCCAAGGACCAGAATTTTCATCGAGCGACTTGGACAAAGTCTGACCCTACGCTTTGCCCATGTTTGCTTCCTGGCGGAAAGTATGTGGTGACGAAGAGGTGGACCTGTCTTGAGCCACAGGACTGGGGTTGCGACAAAACAACCAGCAATGACAAACCATAAACTTTTACGCTGCCCCATGAGGAGCGAGCAAGGCTCCAGGGCATTGGCGCGCGGGAGTGGTATAACTATAGCATGGACAAGCTGAAACCTCGGCTGGTGGCAGATCTTTGCGGCAACTCGTGCCCTGGAAACAACTTATATATACTATATATTAATATAATATGTAAACTTTTAGGGCAGCAGGCAACCCGTACAGTCACAGAATGAGATGAAAGTGTCTCAGCCTAACCTGTCCATCCTCCAAGCCTTTCTCAAAGCAAGTCAAGCGCAAGTGGAATCCAAGGTTCTCGGCTCCAATAATTGCTGCCAGTTTGTGCTCAGCTTTGGCTTGCTTGCCAATGAGGTCGTGAGTGGTAGTTTGCGTTTGTAGGGAGCTAGGTGCTCCTTGAGGCACGCAGTTTGCATAGAAGCCTTGCTGGTAGGTCCAAATTAGGTTCCTACAGGGGTGGCAAGGCTCAGCGGATGGTGTGCTGTTGACGATTTGGCAATTTGATACCTATCCTCAGTTGTCTTCCAACTAACAACTGAGGGCTGAAACTCGACCGAAGGATCGAACCTGCTTGTGATGAGAAACTAGGTGTCTCAGTGTGTATCAAATGTGAGGTTTGCGCAACTGAAGTGTGACCATTGAAGAGTGTTTGTTTTCATCCCTCCGCTTGTGTTTGGGTTCAGGGTGCCCCCCAAAAGTTCTGGCTTGGTGGGCTGTGTGAGCCTGCATGCCGCCTCGCAAAAAGGCAAAGACGGCCAAGGCTGCTGTGGCCCAGATTGTTTCGGGCTGCGATACAGCATCCGTGCCATTGACTACTGGGGAAGCGCCCCCACTCATCAAAGCAACTGTGAGCGTTGTGGACAGCATATTCAACCTCCGTCACTGTGATGATCGCACGATTCACAACGAAAAGTTGGGCAACCTTGCGGTGAAAGATGGTTTGTTTCCATGGCCGGTGTGTAGCGGTGGCACATTCAAACAAGTGGCGCAGCGCGCATGGTCAAATAGCGAGCGGTTGGTGGAGATGTCTGCCAACCTTGCGCAGAAGGTTGGGATCACAGAGACCAGCGACGTTCACGAGTTTTTACAGCAGTTCTGCAAAGTGGAGGCTGGGTGCATTCAATACTTAGTCAGACTGAGACTGAGTGTTCGAGTCATTAGCTTATGGTACCAGTGGTATATCAATCACTAGTTAGTCCATCACACCCCAGAGCTGGGAATTGTTGCATCTTTTTGGGCGTGCCTTGGAGGCGTGGCCTCCTGCGAAAGGTGCAGTCTTCGATACTTCCATATTGAGTTGGAGTTTCGACGATGCATCCTTTTGGAGGGGCAGGGCGGTGGCCATGAGTGAGATCATCAACTACGCCAGGTCCATTGCTACAAGCAGATTCCGAGAGGCTTGAGGGTGGGGTTTTGAAGGCGCTCCGGCCACAGTTCATTTTTTGGACCCGCGGTGCACAGGTTTGCTGAAGGCATCCAACCGCAGATCTTTTACATACTCCCAAGCCAAGTGTGAAAAGAGAGTACACCATTTCCAGGCCCAGTGATCCTGCAGACTTCAAAGGTTGATTTAATTTAGTTTCATGTTTCCAACTGTCCGACTTTGTGAACGTGTTTTCCAACATCATCCTTAGATTGTGCTGTTGAACGCAATGGAATGGGTCGGGCAAAGGGCCATGGACGCGTTGCTTTGTCCGTGCTTCTTCGCAGACCTTGCAAATGCTTAGCCCAAGTGTGCCTGCAGCAGTTCTCTGGTGCACAAACACAGGTGGAAAGAGCTAGAGCAGAGTTTGATTCACTTCCCAGAGAAAACAAAGATGCTTTGAACATTTTAGTTTGGCTGCTGTTTTTGTTATGTTGCAAACTCACAACCCCTGAGGAAAATCCTTCAAACAATAGGATCCTCTTCAGAACCACTGGGACAAAATTTGTCGAAACATACCTTTCCCATGCAAGGAGATTTGGGTGGCGCAACAATTTAATTGTTCTCAGACTCATACATTTGCTTGCAGCGAGCAAGCGGTTGATGATGTTGATTCCAGTGTTTTCTGCGAATCAGAGTCAGAGGGTCCACAATCTGAAACTCTGCGCGCTACAGATGATGAGCTGGATGATGACAAAAAAGATAACGCTGATGGCGAGGTTTTTTTCTCATCATCAGATGAGTCTGAGGCTTACCCTGAGCAGCCTGCTCAGAAACGCCAGCGCTACAACCAAAGAAGCAATGAATCTGCCAAGTTCCTTGGCAAACCAGTTTGCCGTCGGGCCTTGGCGGCCTTGCTGGGCATTGGTGGGTCCACGCTGCAGCGGCTACGGGGCGGAGAGTCGGCATACACACAGAATGCTCGGAAACCGTTAGCCAAACATCCAACATTTGGCTTCGCCATTCGTGGCGAGACAGGCAAAGTATGGGAGCAAATAGTTATGTTTTTTTACTTCCTATACCACAGTGCGGCCGAAGTGATGCCAACGAATTGGCTCACAATCAAACAAGCAGGATCAAAGCAGGTGGAGACTCCGTTTCCTGAGGACGATGCAAGTTCTGAGAATAGGCTGGAAGACTTGCAACGGCTTGTCAACTCGATTGGCCGAACCCTGAACACCTTCACAACTGACGTGGAGTGCCAAATGATTGGCCCGGGAACATTTGCAGGCCCCCGGAGGTGCCTCCAGCATGGCTCAAGAACCGATCTGTTTTGGGAATACATGGCATTTTGCCAGTCTAGAAGCATTGCCCAGGCATCATATAGTACGTTCATGAAAGTGGCCAGTTCAATCATGAAACCTGGACTCCGAGACAAGCACTTGATGTTTAGGAAGAAGTCGGAACACGCGCAGTGCGATTTCTGCTTTAATGCCACTGAGCGCATCAGAAAGGCACGCTCAGCTGATTTGAAGATGGCAGAGGAAAGGGAGCTTGTCCGCCATTGCTTGGCGCAATGGCAAGACCGTCAGTGCTATTGGGCCTTCAGGTCAATGAGCCAAGCGTATTTTTTCCAATGCGATCGTTTCTAATGACAGGTGGCTTGACTTCGAGTGCAAAACATTTGTGTGTTTATTCTTATTATAGGGATTCAGGCTTGGTTTGATTCAGGGTCTCCCCAAAGGGGTTTGGCTTGAGGATCGGCGGCCTCCCGCATGTCAGCACATTGTGCATCATCCATGATGCAATGGACCAAGCTAAGTTCAGAACTCCAAGAACACGCCAAAATCAAACCAAACTGTTCTCGACTATGCACCGGCCTACCCTTCACGTGTCCGCCGCGTGGGCACATGGCTGGGCCCTGCAGCTGGCCATCGGGGATGAAGACCTCAAGAAAGATTCCAAATGCACCATGGAACAGATTTCCCGTACCATCGACCACATTTTGTTGGAAAAGGGTAGTATTCCAACTGGCGTGAACCTCCAAGCCGACAACACATACAGAGAGACAAAGAATCAGTACGTAGCAGCATACGCAGCGCTTACACTATGCCTTGGAATCTTCCGGCATTTTTTCCATGTCGTTCCTCCGAAAAGGACACAGCAGCTTTGCGTTGTTGAGCACACATTTAGCAACTTTCAAGTTTGCTTAGGCTTGCGGCGCATGGTCTTATTCCAGCCTTACCCCAATGCGTTGTAAGCCAAGGTCATGAGGACGTTGACCAGTACTTTTCACAGATAGCGTCGTACCTCACACCTCAAGAATTCTCCACTCCACAGGATGTAGTGGAGCTGCTGGATAGTGCTACACGCCCCGACCGAGAGGCCGATTCGTTTCGGAAGCAGGCACAGCGCACAAAGGTGCACACTCACACTTACAAGTTGGATGAAGTGGCGTGTTGGCAAGATTGGGTGGCAGCTTTAGGTATTCGATTGTTGGGGCTCCGAACCTCAGGCACACCGTGTTGGAAGGCGTTCCTGTTTCTCTTGTGCAGTTTCCCACCTTCTTGCTTTGGTTCTGTCGAAAGGTTTGTCAAGAAGCATGGGGCTTCTTGAGTGCCAAGATTGCAGATTTGTGTGCACCCTCAAAAAAGTATTAGGTTATCTGTTGGGTTTGGTTTGTGAGGTTCAGGGCTATCTCGACCGTTTGTGTTTTGGAGATGTCTCATTAGTCTCATTACGAGAGTTTCTCAAATCAAAACTCACAGTCTGAGCCGAGTCAAAAGCTGCCACACGAGACAGTGTTTCAGGAAATGTGGGACAGCTTCGCTTTGCACTCCGGCAAGATCTAGACCCTGCTTCCTTTGGCACCTGCGAAATTGAGGAACTGCGCCGACACGAACCACATGGGTTTGATGTTCTTCTCCTGGCAAAAAAATTCATGGCTGACGCATCTCCTTTCAGAGTGATTTGCCTAGTGCCAGCAGAGGTTTGCGTGCGTATGAGGGCTTCTTTCATTCAGCCCTCCGGAGTTGCTGATCGAAGGGCTATTTCAGAGAAGTTGAGAAAGAATTTGTTGAAGAAAGCGCCAGCTTGCCGGAAACAAGGTTCTATTTCAACTGATGCGGAATCGTATCTGATCGGTTGGGCCCAGGGTACTTGGCCCAGAGTTGCGCGGCCAACAAAGTACAACTTCTTGGAACTGAGACGCTTTGACATACCAAATGTGGGCCGGCCAGAAACTGTTCCGTGGCAAGCGCCTGATAGGTTTCGGGTGTATAACATTTTGCGAAGTGACGATGATTCGGATGATGGCTGTGATGATGATGGCCCTGTCGATTTGCTTTTTGGCGGTGATGGCTGACAGAGAGGATGAAAAAAGAGCTATTACGGTGGGGTGGGGGTACATTGTTTATTATTATGTACGTGATACATGGGGCACCATGAAAAAGCACGCCCCCAAGCAAGTCTTTTTGGCTGTTTGTAAAACATGAGGGGATAACAATAGTATTCTCTTTTTGAGAGGGTCTGCAGGGGCAAAATATCTTCGTTGGTGAGGATTCCTCTTGACGAGGAATTTCTTTTGGCGAGAGTTTCATGATTTTTTTTGGCGAGGAAACCCGTATGGCGAGGAATCATGTATGGCGAGGAATCCCTTATGGCGAGGAAACCCTTATGGCGAGGAAACCCTTATGGCGAGGTGACCAGCGGACACCTCACCATAATCCACCGTGGCAAAACCCTAAACGTGTTGACGCCAACTTTTTTTTCAGCAGCAGCCGGTGCTTTGTGTTTGACAGGTTCTGTGGTCTTCAAGCCTTCTAGGTATGACCGGACTTTGGAAGAAGTTAAGCTTCACACATTTTCTGATTCAGGAACGCTCAACACTCTAAGTTGCTTCGAGAACTCTTTCAGTCACCTTCTACAGTGCAATCAAAGGCCGAGCTTTTGGAGAGGTGTCCCGCGGACGGCTCTCCATAAGTTGGGTGCCCAGCACTACCCAAAGTTCACGGTGTTGACAGGGAACAACCTCACCGTTTAACTACCCCATCCAGCTTCATATGGCTTATGGCGACCGTTCCCTCGGACAGCTCTCCATAATGCGCGGTTTGTCTTGTATGTGTTTGAGGCTAGGTTTCGGCTGCTCGACGAAACCTTGGTCAGGGCGAGACGGTCTCCTTGCGACTTCCTGGTCCACCACTGAAGCACCTGCTGGCGGTTGGTTCGCTCTACTTCAGTGATGGTTCACAGAAGACACTAGCAGGCTTCACGGTGTGGATTGCATTGCTTCTTGCAAGCGAGCTCCCGGACATAGCAGAGGTTGACTTTGAACATCCCCAGGTGGTGAACCTTGTTGCGTCTTTACTGCAGATCCGAACAACCTTCAGGGCAAGCGGTACCCAAGATTCCGAGGTGGACTCCATGATCAGCAGGATTGTCAAACAGAATGTGGATAGCAAGGTGCAGCCGGTGAGCAGCCTGCAATGGGCTAGCATCTTAGCTTGCCTAGGCAATTGTACTACGATGGACCAAGCTGTTTCCCGCTATAATGGACACCCCGAAGTACAAGCTTTTGAAGGTCAAGGTTCTGGATCGATCAGCCTGGACGGCAGGAAACGGCAGGCTCCATCAGCATTGAGGGATAGACTGAATGGTTCATAAATAGGTAATTTCACATGGGCCAGATTTGGCGATATCACCACTTGTATTAAGTTCCAAGTAGGAGGTGGATGTGGTTGTTGCCAATCATTGCCCTGTGTTTAATGGAGATTCAATGCTGGGCAGGCGGTCAAGAATTTCTTTGAGAAGACAGCGTCAGGCGCTTTCGACGTGCTTTTGACGAGTACACACGACGTATCATGGTCCCTTGGACCATTTGGTGAGGTGTTTGGCACCTACAACTTCGTTTTCCTGGGGTCATCAATGCCCTTCGAATCAGCCCCGCCAATGGAGGAGGAGACGCCCCAGCCACTGCCAAATGAGGCGAGTGTGTCGATTGACTGGACATTGCCGACGACAGAGTCTGCGCAAGCACTGCTGTTCAAACGTGTTTTGTCGCATTGGAACAGAACTACCTCGAGCTTTCCAGTGAACATGAAGAAGAAATACAGATTGTCAGCAGACGAATTGCAGAAGACACGAAACACGGTGGTGTTGTTTGACCAACTGCTCCCTCACTTGCAAGTTCGCATGACTCCAGAGAATGTCAAGAGCTGGCAAGAGGATATAGCTGCCAATTCCAAAAGAGATGCCGACCTGCAGTTTCTATTCAATACAAGACCATCAAGGTTCTCGCTCTCCATGTTCCCCTCTGAGCAGGAGGTTGCAAAGAAGGACCTTTGGGACATGGAGCAGAAGAAGGTTGAAGCGAAGGAAGAGCAGCAGGCAGAGGTTGATGCTGCTCAGTGGAACTTTTTCAAAGGGGCGCTGAAGCGTGATCACGACAAGGTGGAGCAAGCGCAAGACGCTCCGAGGCTGGTGAAGCGAAAGCTTCATTCCAAGCAGGTTTCTCATCGATCTAAGTTGGCTGCTGAGGGTGATGCTGCTTGCAAGGGGTATCAGGACTGGCATGCCCAAAAGACATGTGTTTGCGTGTTTTGCCTTTTTGCGGGGAAGAGGAAAGGGGGATTCGGCTTCGTTTCATTAAAATGAAAAGCACAGGTTGGAAGTTACAGGTTGAGTTGAACTTCCATGGACTCAGGACGCATACATCCGAGTTGTTTCTTTGGAGAAGATCGAGCACGCAGCTGGCGAGATTTCAAGGATGAAGCAACATGTGGTTCCTTGCCTTCCGTGTTTGTAGTAAACATGATCACTAACTAGCAGGCATCACACCCATTGCCATGTAACAATGCTGAAACCCACCCATTCGATCTGACACTCATGTTCTTTGATGTTTCGATGTTCATATTTTCTGAGATTCCTTGATTGGAAACAACAAAGCAGCCCCAAACAAAACCAGCTTTTCTGAGGCTGACCTGACCAAGACGAGCCCAGACGAAGTTCACATCATTGGGTTTGTGGACTACAATGTTCCAGGCGCCAGGTTGGCGTCGAAGGTTGACATCCTGAGCCAGGGAGTTGGACTCTGCAACGACATGGGCAACAGCTCACAGAACGCTACGATGTTGTTGATGCCAGACTTGGCCAAGGACAGCAGCCTTCGGGGGCCTGTGGGATGAAGAACGGCAGATAGTTGAGTCGATGTTTGCTCAAAAGCAAGATTGCGCGTGCCAGTTTGTGGATCTGTTCACAAAAGACGCAAGGGGAGAGGCTCGCTCCAGCATGCGGCGATGGGCAGCAGGCCGCTTGGTTGTCTCTGCCGAGAGCAAGGATGACAACAAGTGGCTGGACAGTGAACTGGCAGTGTGCGGCCGCCCTGTAGGAAGGGCAGAGCAGGATCAGGGTGCTCCGTGTTCTGTTTTACCTCGGGCAAGTTCACTCTTACTGCCCGAGGCCAGTTCACCCGATCAAGATCTCAAGCTGGCAGATCGTTTGCGACCTTCGCCAGAGCAAACAGCTGCGCAGAAAGGAGTTGCCAGGCTCCAACTTCTGCTCGAATCACTGTTTAGGCACTCCAAGGTCAAGGCCCCCTGTGATCATGGTCAACCTTACAGGTTATGTCGAGGAGATGGCGGCTTGTGTCCCCAAGCGTGGCATTAATATTCGTTTCAAACAGCGAGACGCGACGGCTTAAAGAACATTGATAGGTCAAATATGGTCAAATTCAATTTGGAATGCGGCCAACTCGTGTTGTGTTTTTGATGAATATGTTAGAGATATATGTTGTATGTTTTTCAAACATATTATGTATTTCGATTGTGTATACTGTATACAGTATATATTTGTAATAACGTGTAGTAACTTATATATATACTTATAGGTAGCATAGATACTGTCTATAATAGGGATTTGCTGGAAGCCAGGCAGGTTTATAATGCAACTCTACACTTCTCTCCAAGGTCTTGGCATTGAGGCTGACAGGGACGCTGGCCGGAGACGGAGGAGGCTTCGATTTCCAGAACTTGTTCTACTTGAGTCTACATACTTTGGACTCCAGGTCAGGCCTGCAGTATGCTAAAGCCCGGGTGTATCGCGAGTTGCTAGATGCCTGGTTGGGGAAGAAGTTGAGCTTCAACGGGAAAAAGTTCCAAGATGTTGATGTATCCTTGACGGAGCAGGACACCTTTGTTGAAAACACGCAGACGTTCATTTTTTAGGCCCAACCTGTTTGCCAAATATGAAAGAGTCTTTCAAGCGTGCTTGATGCCAGGAGTTCAATGACATTCCAGGAGCTTCCTGTGTGAAGTCAGTGGATGCAATGGCCCTTGAGGTCCTGCAGCGGGAGGGCACGAAACTGGTCATTCACCCAGACCAAGTTCGCATGTGGCAATCGAAAGGACCCAAGTTTGCAGACGAGTTCAACGAGTTGCGCAGGTTGCATGCTGAAAAGTACGAGGGTTTGCTTGCTGACCTGATTCAGCAGTCTTCTGGCACTGGCTCTCAGGTGGTACCGACAGAGGAGGGCAATGAGGAGGAGACTCCCGAGCGCAACGAGCCTGAGCCTACCCTCACCACTTTTGAGAGCTTGGACAAGCTTGCTGCAGTTGATCCAGTGGCGTGCAAGTGCGCTTCCGAGATTGCAGGTGTGGAGTTGATCAGAACCACACCCAAGAAGATTTTCCTGTTTTCAGAGAAGCAGAAGGCGATTCCACGTCATGCTATCATTGGAGGATTTGGGACTGGCAAGTCCTTCGACAAATTCTATTTTTTGGTGGCAAGTTTTTGTGGGATTTATTGGGTGGATGTTGGGCGTTTCAGCTTTCCTGATTTCTTGGTGTTGCACACTGAGTCAGGTATGTCCCTGAGGATGAGGAGGGCCTTGGATTGAAGTTCGAGTGGAAGTTGGGGGACAAGACGCTCGTTCAGGTTGACCACTCATCAATAACACCTGAGTCCACCAACTTGGAGGTGATGACGATGTACCGGTTCCTCACCTATTTGGAAAGAGTGAAGCGCGTCGTGGAATACAAAGTGTCCTACACGGATTGCGCAAGAGACTCTAGCAATTCAGGTGATGGCTTCAGCATTTGCATCAAAACCCCTCACAAGTACAAGATTTTGCCTGGCGCCAGCGAGAAGACTTCGTCAAAAAGTTTTTTGGAAAGTCCATGGATGAACTTGAGAAGAGCCCTACCCTCAGCAAAGTGTTCAGATTCAGATATG